GCATACATGGCAGCAAGAATCGCATCATAGTCAAGATCAAAGATAGGAACATCACGCCTAAGCAGGTCTGCCCAAGGGGGAAACTCAGTAGCCTCAGGAAACTTGACGCGCCAGGCGTCGCTGAGCCGAGAGAAGCAGCGGTACTCCGTGTGAAAGCCGTTGCATGGGCGACCAGCGCGGGGACCTGTGCGAATGGTATAGGTGCAGCGAACAGGACCCCCAGACGCCCCACGCTGAGCGTACCAGTCATGAAGCTGCTGAGTCGTGGGGGTCTGACGCTGACGCTGCTGCTGCTGGTGCTGCTGCTGCTGCTATCCCTAGCCACCACTGGAGCTCCCCTTCTGGCCGGCTCCACTCCAGCCCCCACCACCGCTGCCACCACCGCTCCCTCCTCCCCCACTCCCGCCGCTGCCACCTCCACTGCCCCCGGTACCCCCGCCGCCCCCACCACCACCTCCACCCCCACGACCACCCCCACCACCTCCACCACCCCCGCCGCCTCCACCACCGCCCCCTCCACCGCCACCTCCACCTCCCTTGCCACCCCTGCTGCCCCTGGCGCTGCGGTGCTTCCCACTAGGAGCGGAAGCAGCCCCGACCTCTTCAGCACCAAGGTAGTCGAGACCAGCAGCAGCAGAGGCGTAGGAGGGGGCAAGAGGGGAGGGGGAGCACCCCTCAAAGAGGGGAGTGCGAGGAGTGCCACGAGCAGCACCTACAGCGAGAATGTTCTTTTCAGCTGCTAGGAGGTACATCTCGAAGTCGGTGACAGTGAGATTGGTAGGGTCTAGGGCGAGAAAGTGGTCCCTAACTGAGTGAAGAGTGTCAGGGAGGCGGGTGATGAGGAAGTAGAGAGTAAAGTACATCGGGGGGTGATTCGCGGCGAGAAACTCGTCTGAAAGGGCGGCACGAAAGCGAGCGTCACTAGTGCGGAGGTGAGAGATGAGGTCCTCAGCGGTGGTAAACGAGGACAGGTCGGGGAACAGGTAGGGTAGCATGAGAGGACCTACGGCAGCACTGGCTGGGGAAGAGTAGCGGGCAACTACAGCCTCATACAGTGCCTTAGCAGTCTTGTGCCGACTAAAGTGCGCGCGCTCAGTGATCGACAGATGGTTGCGAATAGCGAGGCGCACAGCAGCATCACGGGTCTGCCACTGTGAACGGTCTTGAGCGGCAGCAGTGTCAGCAGGAGCAACGGAAGTGCCAGACGATTGATCGAACAGTGAAACTCTGTCTTTGGCATCAGTCATAAGAAACAGTTGCAGGTCGTCTAGCCAAGTGGCAAACTCTATCGGGCGACCGTCAGGATCGAAAGCGAGGACATTAAGAGTTGCCATGAGTGCAGCGCAGGTGAGAGTAGCGCGTAGGCGGCAAGGCAGAGCTCAAACAGGAGAAGCTGCGCACAGGGCGGCAGTGGCGGCGCACAAGCTACTGAGGCGGCACGCACGTGGCTAGGGCGCGCGCAGGCTGCTAAAGTGGCGCACGGGCAGGTAAGGCAGCGCGCAGGGCAGAAGCGGGCTGCGCTAAGGCGGCGGACGCGGTGCGCTGGGCAGCAGCGGGCTGCGCGGGCGGCAGACGCGGCGCGCGGGGCAGCAACGAGCTGCGCGGGCGGCAGACGCGGCACGCGGGGCAGCAGCGAGCTGCGCGGGCGGCGGACGCAGCGCGCGGGGCAGCAGCGGGCTGCACGGGCGGCGGAAGCGGCGCGCGGGGCAGCAGCGAGCCGCGCGCGGGCTTTTAAGGCGGCGCGCGGGGCAACAGCGGGCCGCGCGCGGGCTCCTAAGGCGGCGCGCGGGGCAGCAGCGGGCCGCGCGCGGGCTCCTAAGGCGGCGCGCGGGGCAGCAGCGGGCCGCGCACGGGCTCCTAAGGCGGCGCGTGGGGCAGGACCAGGCGGCGCGCTCGGGACTAGGGCAGCGCGCGCAGGCAAGACAGAGGTGCGCGCGGGCAGCGCAGCGCAGGCAAGGCAGGGCGCGCACGGGCGGTGCAGCGCAGGCACGACGTGGGGACGCTCAGTAACCGCAACGGTAGGTGGGCCCTAAAAAAATCAGTCCTACGGACCTACTGCTGTGAATACCATGTTAGGCAGGAATGAGTGAACTAGGAAAGTATTGGGTACAAATATGAAACCCTAAAAGGGGCTACCCCACTACAGCCTAAACATATATAGCATATATATAATTTCACAGAGAAAGGCCAACTGTACAGGTAGATTGAGAATTCATGCACTTTCAAAAGGGACCTACACACAAGAATACCATAGTTATTTAACAGAGAAAGGCCAACTGTACAGGTAGATTGAGAATTTATGCACTTTTAAAAGGGACCTACACACAAGATAGAGAAAGGCCAACTGTACAGGTAGATTGAGAATTCATGCACTTTCAAATGGGACCTATACACAAGAATACCATAGTTATCTGACAGAGAAAGGCCAACTGTACGTGGGAGCACTGGAACGGACCACGTCAGCAGTGCAGCGCCAGCCAGCAAAAGACGTCAAATGCCGCCTGCCTCTCGGCCAATCGCATCGCCACCTGCCTCTAAGGACCTCCCTAAGTGGTAAGAGAAGACGAAGGAGCACGAAAAGCCAATGAAGAATAAAAATAAGGAAGAAATATTGAAGATACGAAAAATACATTAACAAAATCCACCTGGCCCATGGCCTCTCACCCCATGCCCTCAATGTTATCTCCGTTTCAACGCCCCAGGAGCAGACGCAGCGCCGACCGACTCGGTGCCAACGAGGTTGACAGCAGCAGCAGAGGCAACAGAAGGCGAAAGGGGAACGGGGGAGCACCCCTCAAAGAGGGTCACCACGAGAGGCTCCTACAGCGGCTATACTCTTCTCGGCTGCTAGGAGGCGCTCCTCGAGGAGGTCAACGGTGAGTGTGGTGGGGCAAAGGGAGAAGAAGTGGTCCCTGACCGAGCAAAGGGAGTCAGGGAGCCGGGTGACAAGGTAGTAAGTAGAGAGTGATGTACATAGGGGGGGGGGTTCGCGGCGCAGAACTCGGCAGGAAGCGCAGCGCGGTAGCGGGTGTCACTAGTGCGGAGGTGCGTAATGAGGTCAGCGACTGTGGCAAAAGCGGCTAGGTCAGGGAACAGGTACGGCAGCATGAGGCGGCTAAGGGCAGCAGTGGCAGGGGAGGAGTAGCGCGCAACAACAGCATCGTACAGAGTCCTAGCGGTCTTGTACTGGCTAAAGTGCGCGCTCTCAGCAGACGGCAGGTGACTACGAATAGCAAGACGGGCAGCAGCATCGCGTGTGGTCCACTGCGAGCGAACAGTACTGTCAGCATCAGCAGCAGGTGCAGCAGAGGCGCTAGATATGAGATCAAAAAGCGAGACTCCGTCCTTGCTATCGCACTGCAGAAATAGCTGCAGATCATCGACCCAGACCTCAAAATCGACCGCTCGACCCTCAGCATCGAAGGTAAGGACATTAGGGCTAGCCATGACTACAGGGGCAGCAGCAGTAGGCTAGCAGCAGCAGTAGCAGCAGGAGCAGCGCGACTTGCAGGGCCGGCGCGGCTCGGTAGGGCGGTGCGGGTGCGGCGGTGCTCTTACCAGTGGCGGGAGGGGAGAGGCCGCGACTGGTGGGGCAGGGCCGTGGTGCACCAGCAGGGTAAGGGCCGCGAGGCGGCAGGGCAGGGCCGCGGCTCGGCGGCAGGACAGGGCCGCGGCTCGGCGGCAGGACAGGGCCGTGTCAGGGCAGTAGGGCAGGGCCGCGACGGCGGGGCCGCAGCGGCGAATGCAGCGGCGGTCGCTCCGGCGGCTGGAGGCGCGACGGCGGTAGCAGGGGCGGGCGACGGCTGCTGCTGCAGGGTAGGGGCCGCGACGAAGGGGCGGGCAGGGCCGCGTCGAAGGGGCGGGCAGGGCCGCGTCGAAGGGGCGGGCAGGGTCGCGTCGAAGGGGCGGGCAGGGCCGCGTCGAAGGGGCGGGCAGGGCCGCGTAGGGCCGCGGCGAAGTGGCGGGCGGGCCGCGAAGGGGCCGCGACGAAGGGGCGGGCGGGCCGCGCCGGGCCGCGACGAAGGGGCGGGCTGGCCGCGCAGGGCCGCGACGAAGGGGCGGTTGAGCCGCTCAGGGCCGCGACGAAGGGGAGGGGCGGGCGGGCCGTGACGAAGGGGCGGGCGAGACGCTAAGGGCCGCGTAAGGACGGCAGGGCGGGCCTCTAAGGGCTGCAACGTCAGGGCAGGCCGCTAAGGGTGGCCGTAGGGCAGAGCCCGAAGCGCGCTTCGGGCAGGGCAGGAAAAAAAATGTTTTCAGGTGGTGGGCCCTTAAAAAAAAAAAACGGTCCCACTAGGGAACCCGCTCTATACCATGTGAGAATTGAACGAGAAATGAATGAACTAGGAAACAGGTGGGTACAAATACGCAAACCTAAAAGTGTTGTACCCCATATTGTTAACCCCACTACAGCCTACAATATGGTTCTGACATCTGTCACATTCTCTCGGCCCCCCTTAGTCCGCCCCCTGCTCAGTCTGATTATATTTTGTTCTTGTTCTTTCCAAGACATCCATTCTTTTTTTTGCTATTTTTTTGGTAGGATGGCCCTGTCATTGCGCCCTGCTTAGTTCGCCCTGCTTAGTTCGCCCTGCTTAGACTGATTATTTTTTGTTCTTGTTCTTCCTAAGAGTTCCATCTTTTATATGTTTTTTTCTCGTAGGATGGCCCTGCCATAGCGCCCTGTGTCAGATTATATATTATATATAGTACTCTGCTGTATAATACTCTGCTGTTGGTAGTGCACCTTAGGTTTCCCTATATGTTCTTGACATTCTTTAGTGAAACACATTATTCTCGATTTTCCCTTGGTGACTTTCAGCATCCTTGGCCTATGCTACTAAGCCTAGGCCCTACGTAAACACTTATGTTCCCATTCTGGCTTGGTATCAAAGCTAGTACTTTCCTAGCCTGCACAATTTTATGGACCCACCAACCCGTAACACTCGCGTCCCCCGCTCGTAGCTCGTAGCCCGTCCCGTCAACCCGTAACTCGTCGTGTTCTACCCATGGCGTGCGCCGCACATGGCGAGTACGCCTGCAAACCCGCCGATGGACCCGACAGCGAGCGCGGCTGTGAGCCCGCCAACGAACCTGCCGACGGACCCGCCAGCGAGCGCGCCAGCGAGCGCGCCAGCGAGCGCGCCAGCGAGCGCGCCAGCGAGCCCACCAGCGCCAGCACCTGCGACGCTCGCCAGCACCAGAGGCGGCCGCCTGCACCAGTGCCGGCAATGCTCCTCGTTCGCACCCCGTCCGCGCACCCTGTCCACACACCCTGTCCGCGCACCCCGTCCCCCCGTCGTGCAACCCGTCCGCACCCCGTCCGCACCCCATCCGCGCACCCCGTCCGCACCTCGTCCGTGCAACTCGTTCGCGCCCAGTCCCTGCCCGCTCCCGACCTCGCTCTCGCCACCCGCTCTCGCCCCTCTTTCGGTGCCCCCTCTCCCCCGCCTACTGCCGTGTCTGCATGACAGTGGCGGTTGGGTGGTGGGGGGGTGGAGGCAGCAGCGGGACTGGAGGTGGCTGCAGTGGTGTGGAGGGGGGGTGGGGGTGGGCGGCAGTGGGAATGGGGGTGGCAGTGGCGGGGTGGCAACTCATGGGGAGGCTAGTGGGAGGTGTGAGGGAGTGGCAGGCGTATCCCTGCAGCACCTACCGCCATTGCACCTCCTCCTCTCCCTCTTTGCCGCTGCTGCTGCTGTGGGGGAGAGGTTCAGGGGGTGTGGGGGGCCGCCTCTTCCTCCTCTCATCCCCTGCCTTGTGTATCCTGTGCCTCTCGTGCCGTGCACCCCGTCCGAACCTGCACCCCGTGTCTCCCGTACTGCCCGTGTCCTGCCCGTCCCCCCCCCCCCCTCCCCCCCCCCTCCCTCGGCCGTGCCTTTCGTGCTGCTCGTGTCCTCGTGTGCTTCCCGTGCTACCTGTACCATGCTGCCGCCCCGTACCTCCCATGCTTCCCGTTCCCGTGCCTCCTGTGCTGCCCGTTCCCGTGCCTCCCGTGCTGCCCGGTCCCGTGCTGCGCGTTCCCATCACCCGTGCTTGCCGCCCCGTGTCATTCCCGTGTCTCTCGTGCTTCCCATGTCCTCCTGGCTTCCCTTGCTGCTCGTGCTGCCCGTTCCTTTTCAGACATGGTATCAGTCCACCCTTCTCAGTCCACCCTGCTCTGTCTTATTATGTGTTGTTCTTGTTCTTCCCAAGAGCTCCATCTTTATATGCTCTTTTTCTGGTAGGATGGCCCTGTCATTGCGCCCTGCTCAGTTCGCCCTATTAAGTATGAATATATTTTGTTATTTTTCTTCCCAAGAGTTCCATCTTTATATGCATTTTTCCGGTAGGATGGCCCTATCATTGCGCAATGCTCAGTCCACCAAGTTTGGTCTGATTATATATAGTTCTTGTTCTTCCCAAGAGTTCTATTGCGCCCTGCTCAGTCCACCCCGTTCGGTCTGATTATGTTTTGTTCTTGTTCTTCCCAAGAGTTCCATCTTTTATCTGTTTTTTATGGTAGGATGGCAATCACAGTATTGCGCCCTGCTCGGTCCGCCTTGCTCAGTAATATTTTATTTTATTATTTTTCTTCCAAGAGTGCCAGATTCTACTGCAGTTTCTGGTAGGATGAGCCCTTCATTCTGCCCTGCTTAGTCTATTTGTCCTGCTCAGTTACTCCGCCCTGCTCAGCCAGTCCGCCCTGCTCAGTCAGTCTGCCTTGCTCAGCCAGTCCGCCTTATTCAGCCTGTCCGCCCTGCTCAGTCAGTCCACCGTTTCCTGCTCAGTCAGCCCGCCCTGCTAAGTCAATCCACCCTGCTCAGTCAGTTCGCCCTTCCCTGCTCAGTCAGTCTGCCCTGCCCAGTCTGTCCGCCCCGCTCATTCAGCCCGCCCTTCCCCGCCTTTCCATGTTTGTCAAATAACCACTTTTGTTTAAGTGACTATCGCGAACAATTGTTGCATATTACATCTCGTGTTGCTTTCTCATTCTTTACGCTTGTCATCTACTCGTGCATACACAACATGGATGTTAGTGAGGCCACGTGGCCACAGTACTGTGAACAGATTCCTCTTAACCATGATAATAGGTTCTCGTGTTCCCGGCATTGCTAACAAGCTCAATTGTTGCTATTCTATGATCGTGTTGCAATGTGAGGGACAATGTTGTTGACTATACGGGAACAATGCACATTCAAATACACCCATATAGTTCAAGTTCAGAGTGCAAAAAAAAAAAAAAAAACATCAAGTTCAGCATCATCCACGGAGAGAAACATGTCAAGCGTAGTGGAAAATCTACCCTTAGTGTTCACACACGATCAAGCTACATCGTGTCATTCACGTGGCCCTCATTTTTTGCGGCCAAGCGCTCCTGAGGCAGGTCGAGGTAAAGCCCGTTCACATCCATCATCTTAGCAGCGAGCTTGCGGTGGCACTAGGTCATTAGCACGTCGACTGTCTCGTGCGCGACCATTTTGACCATGTCAGGATCCTCCAACCGCGCACCAAGAAGGTTCACGACACCCGATTGTATCGCATCCACGACCTGCTTCGCGTTTGTCCCTTTGGGGTGGCGACCATTGTGTATCTTTGTCTGCGATAGGACCGTGACGACAACATGTGCGAAGTGGCGGGCCCGATCAGGAGGTGTGCCAGCGCACTGCGCGACCTCTTATCCTGCATCTACTGCTACATCAGTGCTGGATCCACTGTTGATCTCACACACCATTGTGCTCCCCGTCTATCTCCGTCTCTTCGTCGGTCGCCTCCATACCCGCTACCGTGGCCCACGCAACCTTGTTGGGCGTGTTGGTTGGCGGTTGGGTCAGCTCACGATAGGCACCGAACATGTGACGGTACCTGCCAGCCAAACCAACAGAATAGACAAATATTCGTTAGTCTCGAAACCACGAGGTCCTGCAACATCGTGACATACCGCGCGAGCATGATGATGCATACATGTCCACATTACTGCACATGTTGCGAAGGAGGTTGCCATGCATATGACCAGCCACAGAGATGTCTGCCACCCGCTCCCTGTATTGCTGCTGCGAGAACCCAATCACGGGGTCCACCCTCGCGTCATACGGCATGATTGCAATCGCGGTAAGGTACTGCACCTCTAAGTGGGAATGGTGCCCCAGCTATCGACGCTTTCCACCCAACCACGGTTCGCCAACCTTGCATGCTCCACCCCTTGGCAGATCGCGACCCCCTTTTGCTTGCCCTCGTTGTCTCCCTGCTTTGAGAACACTTGCAGTAGCTGTTAAACCTTGTCCTCCTTGTCCTCGTCGTCAAGGGCCACCATTGTAGTCACATTCTTGCCGCTCGGATGCCGATGGAAACTTGTCGTCGCGGCCGCGTTTGACCGAGCCCAGTCCGAATTGGTGTCGGGGATAGTTGTCGCGGACATTGGCGCATCGTCCATCTTTTCCTTGCCTTTACTAGAGACCTGCATTTCGCTGCCCGCTTCGGTTGCTAGCCGTCGCGTGAACCTGTGGAGGGACAGAGGGTTTCGCAACTGCATATTTTTTGGGGATCGAGCGCGAAGTCGAGCCTTGTGGCATGGCAACAGCACCACCCTTGCTCTTCAGCAGCTCTATCACACTCGGCTCTCGCACTCCTGGCACGGGACCCTTCCGCCTCTTTGAACTCCAATTAACCACCTTCGTCACCACGGATCTCTTCCTTATCTCTTTGCCACATGCTTCCGCGGACTCTGTCCCATATGGTCATACGTATTCATTGCGCGACACCGTCTACCAGAAAGCATCACAATGATAGTGTTCAGCCCGTTGGTGACCCTGGTCGTAATGATTGTGTGCTATGCAGTGGCTGGAACCGTGGAAGACATGTTGTCGATCTTCCTTCTGCCTTTGCCAGTCAGCTTCTTCTGTGCGGCTTCCATCAAGTCGATGACAACTCCCTTCAGCTTTGCGGTAATCTCTTCGACGCGACCCATCGCCCGTTTCTCCTCGTTTTGAAGATCACAGTTGGCAGCCTTGGCCTTTGTGGAAGCCTTCGCTTCCCTCTCGAACAACACCGCAGCATACAGCGAGTGTCGCCGGGCCTTCTCCACAGTGGCCTCATATCGTTTGGCTAGGTCATCAACATCCTTTGCCACCAAACTTCTCTCGAGGTTGCGGATCCGCCGGGAATATGTTCACACCTTCTCGTCCAGGATGAGAATTTCCGCGACCAACCTCTCCTGCTTCAACGTGATGAGCGGCTTGAACGCACGCGACACCGCGACGGAACTCTTCCTCCTAAACGTTAGCCGACGTACCCGCGTTCCCAATACACTGCTGATATTAGCAGCGAGCTGACAAATACTCTTCCCATAACTCGTAGGTCGTGCAATGCCCGCGCCGTCTTCAGCAGAAACTGATATCATAACTCATGACATCCCTAAACGACCCTGATATTGTCGTCCCCGTTCTCGTCATCATCCTCCAACTCGTCAGTCTCCCTAAATCCATCCCCTGCACCTTGCCAATGTCCGCAACTACATCTTTACTGTGACCCTGACTCGCCACCACCTCTGAATACTTCTCCTCGTGACCACGATCTGGATCTTCATGACCACGAGCAGCGTTGCCGGACTCTTTGCCATCGTCATCGTGTCCACCAGCACTCACGGTGTTCACCGCTACATCGTCGCCATCTTAGTTAGACTTCGACCCTTTGTCGGTACCCTTCACATTGATGGCGGGGTCTGCACTAGGATCGTCGTGGTCCAAACTCTCATGCTCATCTGACTCCTCCGGAGACCCCCCGGCGACCGCAGTACCATCGCCTGTAGTAAGCGCGAGCATCGCGTGGCCAGACCCCTGGGAACGCACGGCATGATGCTGCGTCTTCCCAGATTTGGTCAAGTGAGCATCCACACCGTGAGTACCCGTCACACCATGCGACTTCTCCACGCTAAACTTCAACGCGAGTTCTTCCTCAGCACGTTTCACCTCCTACCGCAGAGACGGACTCTAGATGCGTGGCCTAGAGTATTGATCCTCCACAATGTCGAAATCATTGATGATTCAGCCCTAGCTAGAAAACACGCACCTTGTGTTTCACGCCAACCTTCTCATAGAATCGCTGCGCCACTTCAAGCGTGTGTGGCACTCCTTGTTACAGTATATACAACATCAGCCCTCACTCCCACACACCTTGTGGCACTAATACCGCACCTTGTGCTTCACGCCAACCTTCTCATAGAACCTCGGCGCCATTGCAAACGTGTGCCGTCGTTTGTTGCAGTCAATCAAGAATCAGCCCACACTAGAGTAGAGATACACAGACCTCGAGCTTCACCCCTTGTTACAACTAATAACGTATCAGCCTTAGCTAGAGTCACACGCACCTTGTGCTTCACGCCAGCCTTCTCATATAATCGCTGAGCCATTGCAAACGTGTGCGGCTCTCTCTCACATGCCACCAGTAGACCGTCAGGGGGTAGCGCCAGCGCCACAGAGAGTGATTGTGATGTACGAGGATACCAGCGGGTGTAGTGTGGTGAAAGGTGGGCGAAACAAACGTATGCACCCTTTCACACGCCACCAGCATACAGTTTTGGAGATAGTGCCACTACTAGTGCCACTGAGTAGCCCTGAGTTAGTGAGAGGAGGATGGATGAGTGTGTCCGGAGGGGAAGATGTCACGTGAAATAAGTGACTTATTTAAACGTTTCAAAAGCTTACTTAACTCACATGGATGAGTGTGCGCGGAGGCGAAGATGTGCAAGCCAGTGTGTAAATGGGGAAGGGTCGGACAAATGTGTGCAGCAGGCACCCACTCACACAAACATAACCAACAGCAGGCCGTCTGGGGGAAAGGCAAGGACGGTCGAGAGGGAGGAGTAGCCCTGGCGAGAGACACAAGGAAGGAGGGCGAGAGTGAGACGAAGGAGTCGAGACAAATATGTGCGGCACTCTCTCACACGCCACTAGCAAATCGTGGAGAAGAAACGAGAGCCACTGAGTAGACCTGCCGTGGAGGGCGGGAGAGTGTGTGGTGGTGCACAGGAGGTTGGGTGCGGGCGACTGAGAGGGAGTGGTAACCATGGTGAGGAGGACATGTGAGTGAGTATGAGTGGTGCAAGGGAGGTTGGACAAACTTTACAGCACAGCACCACCAAGTGAGTTGTAAGCAAGGGACAGCCATGGGGCAGCGAGGAAGGGGAGGGGGGAGGAGAGGGCCAAGGGGAGGGTGAGAGACAGAAATGGGGGGAGAAGAGAGGGAGGAGGGGGAAGGGGAGGGAGGGGTAGGGAGGAGGGGGAAGGGGAGGGAGGGGTAGGGAGGAGGGGGAAGGGGGGGGGAGGGGTAGGGAGGAGGGGGAAGGGGAGGGAGGGGTAGGGAGGGGTAGGGAGGAGGAGGAAGGGGAGGGAGGGGTAGGGAGGAGGGGGGAGGAGAGGGAAGGAGAAAGGGGGAAAGGCGGAAGGAGGCGGGGGGAGGCGGAAGAGGAGGGGGGAGGTGGAAGGGGGAAGCGACACACTGCATAGATTCGCACAGCAGTCCTGGCCCCAACCCTCACCATGTACACGCCCAACTCAATGCAGTGCCTTGCTCCCGTGAGGCGCACCAGCATGGCCAGGATTGCTCCCTACTCTAGTGACACCTGTAGGGATGGTGGCAGAATAGATGGGATGGGATGGGATGGGATGGGATGGGATGGGATGGGATGGGATGGGATGGGATGGGATGGGATGGGAGGGGAGGGGATGGGATGGGAGGGGAGTGGATGGGATGGGATGGGATGGGATGGGATGGGATGGGATGGGATGGGATGGGATGGGATGGGATGGGATGGGATGGGATGGTATGGGATGGGATGGGATGGGATGGGAGTGGATGGGAGGGGATGGGAGGGGATGGGATGGGAGGGGAGTGGATGGGATGGGATGGCATGGGATGGGATGGGGATGGGATGGAATGGGATGGGATGGGATGAAATGGGATGGGATGGCATGGGATAAGGTGGGATGGGATGAGGGGTGGGACAGGGCGGGATTGGGAAGAAGTGAGGTTGGTCATGGGTGAACAGGAGCATGACAGCATTGCCTTGTGAGGAAAGGTCCACTTCTCACCCGCAAACCTTCTCACACCCCCCACAAAGTTGCATGCCCTGCCCAGTTTATCGCAATAAGCATAAACGAGATAACCCCTTGCATCTCTTTACATATCTGCTTGTGGACTGGCCTTGTGGCCTCTTGCTTGTTCTCGGACTGTGTGGTAATTTTGTGATCCACCCTGAGATCTGGTGCTTGCTGACTGGTCTTGTGACCATTGCTTGTTCTTGTTGACTGGTCCTGTGACCCTTGCTTGCTCTCTTACATCATGAGAGCAGCAGTTGCCACTCATCGAGTTCGCATACAATAACTTAAAGCTCCGATATACATTTGACAAGATTAGTTCAAAATCCTTAGGAACTTGAAAAGTTGTCCCAAAACTGGGAGGCACACTCACAAACCCTAAACCCCACTTACAAATGTATACATGATTATTTTTTAAAGTGTGGAACACTTTCTAAAAATGCGTATTGTGAAAGCGCAGTTGACTGTATCGCAGCAAGGCAACGGCGAATTACAATTCGCCGAGTACATAACGAGGGTTGGAGGCCATTTGGCCTCCACCCACGTCTTCATTTGGAACTTGCAGTTCCACTCCATTCTCGTCCAACTAACCAGGTGACCTTTCTCTCTCGATTTCTGTTGACACTAGCACTAATTTCTGATAAGTTGTTTTCAGTTACTTATCAAGTTTAAGCCACGCGATTTCACGTCGACGGCGAGAGTTGCGACTACATCCGCGGGCAAGAAATCGGCGCCAAACCCGCATCAAATGAGCACGCGACCCAGGGCGAACCCACCACTAGCGAGCCTAAGGCGAACTCGCCCCTGGAGCACCTGGTGACACCATCGTCAGTCGCGCGACTGACGCAAGCGTCAGGCTCGCTGCTGACGCAATCGCTAGGGGCTCGAGCGACTGACACAACCACCAGGGGCGCAACTGACGCAACCGCCAGGGGCGCGGCTGACGCAATCGCCAGGGGCGCGACTGACGCAATCGCCAGTGGCGCTACTGACGCAAATGCCAGAGGCCCGCTTTTGATCCTGCATTAACTGGTTCGACACCAGCATTGCCACGCAGCTAACTCCTACTATCTTAAGCTAACTTGTCTTTTGTTGCAATTTGGATTCTCTTCCCGTTCATTCGATAAATATTTTATTCAATCATTCCTCAGCCTTCAAATTTTCCTGGTGCAAGGCATAATCATTGGCAGGTGGCCAAGCATAACAAATTGGGGCAACGACGGCTACATCAACTCTTGGTGCACCCGCGCATGGTCCTTCACTTGAGGAAGGGGACCGAGGGTCCCGTGCTGGCCAGAGGGCCCATCATCGCCCTATGGAAGGTTGATATGGTTACCACATACGGCACATTGTTGCGGAGGTGTATCATATGGATATAGATTGTATAGTGTTATATTGCCATATAATTTAAAAATGCAAAATTTGTCATAAATATCCCCTTTCATATCAGCCAACGACGCCAACAACTACGAGCAACGAACAACGGTCCTAATCCTTTTAAGATGGCACCAAGTTGGTGCCACCAACGCAACGCCGCCTCTCTGCACTTCGACAACTTCGTCAGGCACAGCCGCACTCAACAAGTCTTCAACGCCCCCAACTGCACATGTCTCAGAAGACCCAATTGTAATGAAGCACGATGCCTTTGCAAGAACAGAAAGCAAGCTTTCTCAATATGATTTTTTTTGAAAGTGTGTAACACTTTCTAAAAATGCGTATTGTGAAAGCGCAGTTGACTGTATCGCAGCAAGGCAATGGCGAATTACAATTTGCCGAGTACATAACGAGGGTTGGAGGCCATTTGGCCTCCACCCACGTCTTCATTTGGAACTTGCAGTTCCACTCCCCACCCACCCACCCTAGTCGTATACGAAACTTGTATAATCTATAGTTGGACGAGAATGTTGTAATTACTGCAATTGTAATAAAGCACGATGCCTTTGCCAATTGTAATGAAGCACGATGCCTTTGCAAGAACAGAAAGCAAGCTTTCTCAATTGCCGCTTTGATGTCCGCCACCACCCAGCAGTCACCGTTTTACCTCAACTACTGACAAAACCCGACAGTACCCATGACGCCAAACCCGGACAACCTCGTCCCACGTGCACAGCAGTTCGCCAAAATTTTGCAAGCAGCCAGGACCCGAGAAACAGATGTGATAAAAAAATCAAACATCATCGCTAAGCGCCGATTACCACCGTCGCCCTGTCACTTCCCGACGACCTGGTTTTACTCGACACGCAGAACCTCCGCCTGTCCATCACCCCAACATTACGCCAAAGATATTGTGGGCAATTTCGCTTCAGCCACATGGTCACCCTCGTAACCGCTCACCTCCTCCTACCTGCTGAGTGGTACATCATCCCGTCCTTCCACGCCAGCCTCCTCCGCCCATATGTCCCGTCAATGAGTCAACTGCCACACAGCCGCCCGTCCAGCATGACACGCAACCGAGCCAATCATCACACCCGAAAAAATGTTGAGTCATCAAGGGCGCGACCCACGTGGAGCACGACGCATCGAGTTCCTGATTTGCTGAAGAGAACAAACACCAACCAAAGACAGCTGGGTCCCCCTGACAAAATTGAGAACCACCCCGTCCTCATAGAGTATCTATGCAGCCGAAATTTCCGGCCTCCCCTAGGGAGGGGGGTAGTGCAAGAAAATTATATTTCCTTACTTCGCGTCACACCGCATACCGTGTATAGGAATATTCCTGCCACTATACACCCAACAGTAGCATGTTGCCACTTCGCGACACTCGCCTCGACACTGTTCCCGCCCACCACGACTCTCGCGCCCAAAGCACCCGGCATGGCTGGTAACCCGCGACCCGGTCTTACACCTCGGCATTTCCCAACCTCGACATCAGGCCCTTTCACGGGCGGGTTATCGTTGCCGAAACCCCTTCACTATTTACAATTTCCTCATGCCTTTGCTCATTGTATGGATCGCTTCGATAGTGCAATTTTCGCTTTATCACTCAATGGCAATCGTAACATGTGCTTGTAACTACACCGAAGTGACTCTTGTGTCCCTTTAGAATCTTTGGAACAAAAAAATCGAGCTGTCTATCAAAAGATTTTGTTCGTACACCCACGGCCACTCGCTCCAGTTGGCACACCTCATTCAAAAACTTGGTTTCCGTTCATTCCCCTTCCTCCTTTTCCACACTTCACCTCGGGTCGTGTCGCGCGTCCCTCCTTCACCAGTGCGCAAACAATTGTGCGGGTGAGGTATCCTAGGTGCAAAATGGTGAGATGATTTAATAACAGCGTGATAAGAGATTCAAAACGGTGAATACATGGAGCACTATAATAGGGGGTTCCTGAACGAACCAGAAATGTGTCCTTGATGTTGGCGCATCAACAACAGTACAATAGGGGGTGAGGTGATAGTGGAGGGGAAAATAACAAAGGTAACCATTGTGCAAACAACGAAGCTGGCCACTATGCAAAGTACGGCCCTGTTCAACAGACACACGGCCACGGAAAGGAAATATAAAGCGATGGAGCTGCCTCTGGATTTCGATACCAGGGAACGTAACCAGAAAAAAAAAAAAAAAAAAAAAAAAAAAAAAAAAAAGACATAACACCTGAACAAATCTAGACCGTTAGTTTGGATTTTGAACACAGATAGTTGCGCGATGAAGCTCGCGCAACTCCTTCAGAATCGCCAGGCTGTTGCTGCCTGCTAAAAGGTCGTCGACATAGACGAGCTTGATAAAATCGTAGGAAGGAGATCAAGTTTAACTAGGGCCTAGGCTTAGGAGCCTAGGCCCAACTAGGATGTCGAGTAGTTTGTGCCTAGGGTGAGATGTCGAGAAAGTTGGGAAGGATGGGTTGCACTATAGGTTTCAAGGAACATATAGCATAGGAAACAAAGAAGGTGCACCACCAAACTAAGCTTATAATAACTACACTAACTACAGCTACAGGCAGTTACAAATATAAGTTCTGACACTCCCCCATAACTGCCTGCAGGAGGAGTTTGTGCAGAATACAACCTGCAGGTGTACACATGCAAAATAATAAACAAGCAACAGCAGGAACTGCAGGCGGGCTGACACTAGCTGGTCACCCACTCCATCTCCTCACCCTCCTCCTTCCCCTCCCCCACACTGCTGCAGGAGCAGCAGAGAGGGGGGGGAAGAGAGGAGAGGTGGAGGGACGGCTGCTGGTTGCCTCACACCCGCCACCCCGGTGCCACTCCCCCTTCTCCCCCACACCCTCACACCCTCCCCCCCAGCGGCAGCTGCAGCAGTGGGAACGAAAGGAGGAGGAGGGGAAGGGAAGGAAACGACCCAAAGCTCCAACACCCGCCACCCCCATACCCTCCTCCCCACGGCTGCAGGGAAACAAAGGAGGAGGGGGTGGGCGGGAAGAAAGCCGCAGAGCGGCTACATTGTGTCGGCGCAGGTAGGTCAGGGGCGGCTGCAGGGAGAGCAGGTGCGGAGAGGGCCCGTCGCGTGCCACGGGGCGCACGACGGGCAAGT